CTCAGCTGTGGGATGTCCTCTGCCGCCTACCGGTCCACGGCAGTGAGAAAGCGGAGCTGTTTTTGATTGACGAGTTCCCACAACAGGTGGATGTATATGCTCCCTGCCAGATTTACTGGAGAAAGTAGAGATAGGCCTCCAGCCACGTCCACGTCCGGTTTGTATCTGCCGAACATGTTTTAATGTCGACCTACCCAAAGAGACGTTTGGGTTTCCTGATCGATACTCCCAAAGGTCAGCAGCCATGTGCGAAGCTTTGAAAACCCTCAGGCTGCCCAGGAGCCATGAAACTCCAATCCAATGGTTCCCGATCTGATTTTTGAAACATACTGAAGTGACACATTGAGTTTTGATTATACTAAGTGTTGGAGACAATCGTTATTAGGTTGGAGGCCATCGCTATTAGGTTGGAAACCATCGCTCTTGGGTTGGCGGCCATCGCTCTGAGGTTGGAGGCCATCACTATTAGGTTCCTTTTGCTATTAGGTCGATATCTTTTTTCTTAGCCCCACCTGCCCTGAGGCGGCGAAGCGAAAAAAACAAGTGGCACTTTGCCAGTAATACGCTCGCGCGCATGGCATGCCCTATGTCAAACGTCACGTTCTCCAGAAACAACTGGTGCATCCGGCTCTTGACACTTCCATTGCAACTTCTGCCAGGACTCATTCTTGTGGAATGTGGGAATAGCAGCTCCTGTTAAATTACAGTAAAGGAAAGGTTGCTTTCTTAAAGAAGCAATTGGCCCACATGAACACTCCAAATGTGACCCCGAGAAGACTGTGTGCGTGTGTTTGCGACATTGGCCATAGGATCTGTGGAAATACATTACTTTTCCAAGATTCCTCATAGGGTTCAACATGTGTGGCCGAATGCGCCATTTGCAGGACACACTTCGACATTGGTTTTCAGTTAGACTCAATTGCCACGATGGGAAGGAAGGTGAGGGAACGGAAAGGCGCATGGGTCAGCAAGAACCGTATGGTTGAACAATGTTTCGACAGGTGTGCGGTGGCGAGCCTCTATACAGTCCAGCTGCGTGAGAAAGTGGAATGGCTTGGGGAAGGTATCATGAACCACCATGGAATCAAAGAGCAAAATTGGACAGCGTGTTCAACAGTTCCAATTTGTCGCAGGTACACACGGGTGATCAATCCGTGCTTCCCACTCCAAGGCATAGCTTCGTTGCACTGAGTTTGCCAAGGAGTGCTCAGTGCCCCTGCTGCAGTGGAAAAGGTGGGAACATGAAAAACCCTTTGAACCAGGGTGCGACACACACAACAAGCCGAAATCGGCGCAAAGAGGAAGGGGTGGAGAGCGGACCTTTTTTTGAAATGAAAAGTTGGAAGTACTGGGAAAGTGTGAAGCCTGAATGCATCTGCAGTGAAGTAAGGCGAATTCGTGGCATGCAATGTAATTCCTATGGTCTGTGGAGTGGTGTAGAGCATGTGGAAGCTGATCAAACGGCTGCGGATTAAAAGTTCTGAGAGCTGGGAAAACGCGACATGCACAAAACCGATATCATGACCTTGCAGCCCTGAAAGAGTTCAGAGATTCTGGTGGGAAGTCCATCGTTTATAGCCCGGCGGCTCGAAAATCCGTTAATTCAGTGATAAAATGAACGAACGAAAAGGCAGTTATAAAATTGACAGGTCGGTGATTTCCGGTATGATTTCAGCGCCTCCTTTCGGAGGGTCACACCCAGTACCCAAGTGGGAAGACTGAGCGGTCCACACTTCGACATTGGTTTTCAGTTAGACTCAATTGCCACGATGGGAAGGAAGGTGAGGGAACGGAAAGGCGCATGGGTCAGCAAGAACCGTATGTTTGAACAATGTTTCGACAGGTGTGCGGTGGCGAGCCTCTATACAGTCCAGCTGCGTGAGAAAGTGGAATGGTTTGGGGAAGGTATCATGAACCACCATGGAATCAAAGAGCAAAATTGGACAGCGTGTTCAACAGTTCCAAATTGTCGCAGGTACACACGGGTGATCAATCCGTGCTTCCCACTCCAAGGCATAGCTTCGTTGCACTGAGTTTGCCAAGGAGTGCTCAGTGCCCCTGCTGCAGTGGAAAAGGTGGGAACATGAAAAACCCTTAGAACCAGGGTGCGACACACACACACACACTGGTCCTAGCAAGTGCCCTTGAAAACACCAGCTGGTAACTAGTATCTCAAATAGTCATTGCCCAGGCGGCCATGTTCCCAAGTCCCACCTCCACTGTTGGAGCGACTCCTGCGGCGAAGTCATAAGGGGACGTGGCTGGGGCAACAGGCTTCAAAACGATCTAATTGTTTTTCACCTGGAACCCATTTGACCTCCTTTTCGATAGGAAACCCATATTTTGGATGGTTGATCCTCCAAAATAAAGGTCAGTCAGGTTCTAGTCTAAGTAGAATTAGAAAAACGGATTTTCATTGGATCTTGGACTTCACCGACGAATACCTCGTCCGTTTCATGGATCTCCAAAGCACGCGACGCGACTCGTGGAAGCGGAAGCGATTGGTTGGCGCCAGGAAGTCCTTTGCATAGGTTGCCTTGACTCCATAGAGCCTATATACTATAATGTGTATTATCGGCATTATCGGTGACAAAACAATATTGCGTAAACTCCAGGGGCTGCTTCGAGGGGTAAGTCCTTGATCACCTGCCAAAGATTCAATGCGGGCATTGTGGGGAGCTAAATCTGGACTGAGAGGAAGTTTTGTAGAAACAGCTACCTTCGGTGGTGGAAATGTGTGCACAACATACACAGTACGGGCCCTAAGCCAGATGCAAAGGTCTGCTCTTTGACCTTTCATTGATGTGAATTCCTGTAAGCAAAGCAAAGCAAAGGAGAGTTTGTCCAACCTCAAGACATCAAACAAAGCCAAAGCCTGCTAAGAACAAATGTCGATTCACCCGATACATTGATCAATGTGAACACTTTCAGAGCTGCTTTTGAGGAGTCGAGGAGGTCAAAAGCATCCATTCTCCACGTTCCTCGTTCGCGCGGTAATGGGCTCGTTCTGAGCCTCCCGCGCGCCTGGGAGTTGCGTTTGCGTTGGCTCTCCAGTGCCCGCCTCGGCTGTTTTCAAAGGAACGAGTCGGAGGGACCACAGTCATGGGGAGATGTGTTGAAATCCTCCTGAAGCCCAAAATGATGGCCCCTCCTAGATCCTCCTAGGCTGCAATTTGACAGTTTCGAGTATTTTCCCAATAGATTTGCGATTATCGTTTAATTATGTTTCTTTGGGCGCCACAGGGTCTATTTAAAGCCAGTGGCGGAGTCCCAAACAAATATGGAGTTTTTGTGGATAGGTCCATCCTGGTTCATCTCAAAGCAAGAGCACATGTCCATATCCTACATAGCTGTTTGAAGGTCTCAGTCATTTCAATGAGTCTCCTGCTGAGCCATGAAAGCATTTGCGTTGGTGGCTAGTGATGGGGTTATGGTTGATTCTTTGGGGTTTCTGACCCTGAACAGGAATCGCAATCACAACATGGTCCAGGCACCAAAGCTGTACTGACGACAAGTAGTAATAAAAGGAAGTGCGACAGGAAAAGGACTGGATGATTCGAACATATTCGAGATATTCATCCTGCAAGACATCCTTTGACCCGAAGAGGAACAGGTTTTCCTTTTGTATTACCATGCTGCCTGCTACTTGATCGCCTTGAACGCAAAAGGAAATATCATCCCACTTCCAGCCCCAGCCGCAACGACGCTGCACCCGTCCCCGAAGGAAAACCCCCGCCGTTTTAACGCCAGTTGTGCAAAGACACCTCAAGCACTTCAAGGGAGGTTGGACTGGTCGGCATCTCTGTTGGCACCTTGAAATGGCGAATGCTCCGCCACCGCTGCAACGTGAATGAGGTGACGGCAAATGGGAATTGGAACGCCAAAATTGGATCTATTCCGGAGAGATCCTGAGTTGTTTGCCCAAGCATAAGGTTGCAAGCACATACAAATACATTGTGAAACGGCTGTCCTTTTATTGAAAGATATTCAAAGTAAAGAACCTTTTTACAGGGTGTGTTAATTTATTCCTTCGCGCACAATGGTTTTGACTTATTGACCCGGACAAAATCAAACAAAAAAAACTCTATGTGTGCACCTGCAATGGGTGGGGCAGCCACTTGGGTGTATGTGTGTCACCCCCTGTTCCGAAGGGTTCTCTTTTGCATGCGCTGTTTCAAGAAGGGTTCTTTTTCGCGTGCGCAATTTCAAGAATGCAGGGGCGTGCAGCATCTGTGGTCCACTGCACGCAACGAAGCTACGACCACAGATGGGAAGGGATCAAGGACGCTTGATCCTGTACCTGCGATGTGACATTACCCCGATCTTTCTGCGCGCTGGTTTGTTTCCATGGTTGTTCTCATGATAGACACCAAAACATTTTCCTCCGCCGCTTTCTGCCGACTTTGAGCCGCTGTCGCGTTCTGCAGACATGTGAACAGATTGTTCAACCTTTCAAGTGAGCTGACTCCTTCGCGGTTCCGTTCCCTCATTCATTTTTTCGTGGAACAGAGTTAACTGCAAACCCTATGACTAAGTGTGTGCCGCTCTGTCGTCCCACTGGGTGCAGGGTGTGATCTCCCGCAAGGGAGCGCTGAAACCATTTGGAATCCCACATTGGATGGACAGCTTTGCACTCGTGAATCAGGTTTACTGGCTCGTCTTTGTCTCACCCAATGAATCTTCTGACCCCAATGCTGCCGAGCTACGGGTATCCAAAGCCGCCGGGCATACGGAGAACGAACCCCCGCCGACTCTCCCCTTTTCTCTAACCCCACCTCTAATTAGGGAAAACAGAAGGAAATGGTACTCGACACACTTGTGCGTCGGCGCCTTTCCTTCTGTTGTCCCTGTTCTAGTCTACTCTACCCGGGCGGTTTAAGACCAAAGTCCCGCTCCCTATCTACTGCACGTAATTCATTTCTGCTAAGTAGTCAGTAACTAGAGTGCTATAAGTACTCAACACACACACAAACACACACGCGGACACACACATGAACATAAATCCCCTCCCTGCCCCCCCCACTTTCTCTCTTGCGCTTTCTTCGTTTCTTAGGCTTTCAGGCTCGTTATAGGTGGTTCTTGACGCTCGTTTCCCTGCCCCAGTCAAGGGCTAAGTATTCTTTTTTCACTACTCCTATCTTTCTCTCCTGCCGTTTTGCTTTGCTCTTTATGTGTTTCTTTCTCTCGTTTATAAGGCTTTTTACGTTCCTATTCAAGTTTCGCCCCGTAATTTGCTGCTCGTGCGGCAGACCTGCACGTCCCGGGAGCGCCGCCGCGCGGCTCCGTGTGTGTGTGTGTGTCTCCCCCTGTTCCGAAGGGTTCTCTTTCGCATGCGCTGTTTCAAGAAGGGTTCTTTTGCGCGTGCGCAATTTCAAGAATGCAGGGGCGTGCAGCATCTGTGATCCACTACACGCAACGAAGCTACGACCACAGATGGGAAGGGATCAAGGACGCTTGATCCTGTACCTGCGATGTGACATTACCCCGATCTTTCTGCGCGCTGGTTTGTTTCCATGGTTGTTCTCATGATAGACACCAAAACATTTTCCTCCGCCGCTTTCTGCCGACTTTGAGCCGCTGTCGCGTTCTGCAGACATGTGAACAGATTGTTCAACCTTTCAAGTGAGCTGACTCCTTCGCCGTTCCGTTCCCTCATTCATTTTTTCGTGGAACAGAGTTAACTGCAAACCCTATGACTAGGTGTGGCCCTTCTTCCAACCTTCCAAGTTGGAAGAACCCGTCCTCTCAAAATCGATCCAACTCCATGATTCTGGAACGGCACACCTATGATTTTCCTGTCATCTGCAAGAACTGATATCCATGTCATCCTCTGTCCGAATAGAAATGTGCCTAGATGTGCGCCTTTTGTAGTGCTTGCGTGTCCAAACGTATATCGTCCCCAATCGTCCCGTCTTTCTGGCAACTGCATTCATTGTACCTTTCGTGTGTAGATTGTACGGTCATCCTTCACTGACGCGTGCGTAAAACCCCTACTCCTAAGTGAGGGGGACCTGCAATAATGTAGGCTATAAAATTTGGTATGTTTGAGACCAAAAATGTAAGCTACATTTTTGGTAGCCCGTTCAACAAATGTAAACTATAATTTTCGGAAAAATGTAAGTTACACTTTTATTTGTTAATTAATAAAATGTAGCTTACATTTTCTCAGTCCAAAGTGCGCAAAAATGTAGCTTACATTTTTGCAGGTCCCCCACTCCATGCTGAAATGGTGATGTAACCAAGACCTCGATTTTTATGCAAAATATCATGTAAACAATGTATACTCTTTCTATAAATATCTGATTATATCAAGTTAAATCATATTCTCTAGCAAGTTGCATTGTTTTGATCCATTTCATACGGATTTTAAATTATATATAAATTCTCAGGTGCCATTTGATCGTAGGGGCCTTGCATGGAAACTTTATTGACGGTTTCTTCACCATATACATCTTTACTTCTGTAGTTTTCATATGTCGCCTTTCAATGTCTAGGTACATACCACCGGTTTACTATAGCTTAGGTTTTCGGAGGTTCCTTTTTTTTCTGACAGCCTTTCAGTGTTTTCCCCTTTTCCCCTCTAGACCTTTCTGACTTCTCTTGCTGTTCTTGTCTGCCTTTCTTTCCTTCTTCCTGGATACCAAGGGCCCCTAGGGCCATTACCCGCTTCCTGACGGAGCCGCTCGTCAGAATCTGCCACTGCATTTTACTGCTGGCTTCTTTCTGTATATCCTACCTTCCTTCTCCGTTACCATTCCCTCGTAGGGGCCTTGCATGGACACTTTATTGAATGTTGTTTGTACAAATGCATCTCTAGCTCTGTAGATTTCACATGTTGCCTTGCAATTTCTAGGTGCATACCACAGGTTTACGCGCGGCTCACAATGTAGCTTACATTTTTGGAGGATCATTGTTCTTACCGCCTTTCTGTGTTTTCATTTTTTCCTCTAGACCTTTCTTCCTTCTCTTCCCGTTCTTTTCTCTTCCTGGAAACCAATGGACCCTAGGACCTTTACCCGTTTCCTGAGGGAGCCGCTCGTGCGAATCTGCTACTGCATTTTACTGCTGGCTTCTTTCTCTATATCCTCCTTCCTTCTCGGTTACCATTCGCTCGTAGGGGCCTTGCATGAACACTTTACTGACTGTTGTTCCCATATGCATCGTTACTTCTGTAGTTTTCAAATGTTGCTTGCAATGTCAAGGTACATACCACCGGTTATTGGCGTCCAAACATGTAGCTTACATCTTTTGGGTTCCATTTTCTTACCGCCTTTCTGTGTTTTCCACTGCTTCCTCTAGACCTTTCTTCCTTCTCTTCCTGTTCTTTTCTGTATTTCTTTCCTTCTTCCTGGATACCAATGGGCCTAGGGCCATTAGCCGCTTCCTGACGGAGCCGCTCGTGAGAATCTGCCACTGCATTCTACTGCTGGCTTCTTTCTTTATATTTTCCTTCCTTCTCAGTTACCATTCTATCGTAGGGGCCTTACATGGACACTTTACTGACTTTTCTTCCCATTTGCATCTCTAGTTCTGTAGATTCTATATGTTGCCTTTCAATTTCTAGGTGCATACCACCGATTTAGGGGCGTCCAAAAATGTAGCTTACATTCTTGAAGGTTCCATGTTTTTACAGTAACGCCTCTAGACCTTCCTGACTTCTCTTGCTGTTCTTTTCTGCATTTCCTTCCTTCTTCCTGGATACCAATTGGGCCCTAGGACCCGCTTCCTGACGGAGCCGCTCGTGAGAATCTGCTACTATTTTTTGCTGCTGGCTTCTTTCTGTAATTCCTCCCTTCCTTCTCAGTTATCACTCGATCGTAGGGGCCTTGCATGGACGCTTTATTGACGGTTTTTTCCCATAATCATATGCATCTCTAGTTCTGTAGATTCCATATGCTGCCTCGCAATTTCTAGGTGCATACCACCGGTTTACGGGCGGCCAAAAATGTAGCTTACATTTTTGGAGGTTCCATATTCTTAACGCCTTTCTGTCTTTTCCACTTTTTTCCTGTAGACCTTTCTTCCTTCTCTTCCTGAGTTTTGATGTGTTTCTTTCCTTGTTCCTGGATACCAATGGGCCCTAGGGCCATGACCCGCTTCCTGACAGAGCTGCTCATGAGAATCTGCTACTGCAGTTTACTGCTGGCTTCTGTCTTTGTATCCTCCTTCCTTCTCGGTTGCCATTCGATCGTAGGGGCCTTGCGTGGACACTTTAGTGACTGTTGTTTTCCCATGTGCATGTCCAGTTCTGTAGATTCCATACGTCGCCTTGCAATTTCTAGGCGCATAACACCGGTTTACGGGCGTCTAAAAATGTAGCTTACATTTTTTGAGGCTTCACTTTCTTGACGCCTTTTTGTTACATTGCAACTTCTTTCTAACCCCAGATGATCTTTATTTTCTTTGCCGGGGCAGAGTGAATGTCCTTACCGAGCACTCCTGACAGCTCAGCTTTCCAGCTGTCTCCGAACGCCCACACGCCAGGCCCTTTTACTAGCTGACATGAGGATGACATGCGCCTTCTCAGGGCCACCTTCGTTCTTTGATTAATTTTGAACATTCGCCCTTACTGTAGGGATCCTCTTCCGGGAACATCGAGTCCACCGAGCTTTCGACAACTGGTCGACGTTTGCGCTGCCAATGCCATGCGGATTGAAGGCGAAGTGGGAAACGGGTAACGGTCGTCTTCTTTGGGTTCGGAAGAGTGCGGGGTAGAGGCCGGACAGTGTAAGAATGTCGGAGATGCAAGGCAGAAGGGCCACATCACAAACACCATGGTGCTCACAAGTGGCCCAACTTGAAAATGCCAGAACAAGAGTTTTTTGGCACTTTCCTTGCCCCCCTAGTTTTGCAACAAGCTTCAGTAGGTCACCGAGATAGGACCCAGCATTTACATGCATTTACCACATAATTGCTTTACGATTCCTACGTCACTAGCCGCGCTCTTCTCAAGAAATTGAAAGAAAAGTGTTTTTGGCTACAGAACCGTGTAGAGAGAGAGAGAGACAAAGAGAGAGATAGAGAGAGAGAAAGAGAGAGAGAGAGAGAGAGAGAGATGTGTCTAGATTCTAGATTGACCCCCATATGTACTGCCATCATGATATACAACTTCCGGAAGCTAAGCCAGTTATCAGACAATTTGCGGTTGAACATTTTGAGTTACAAGGTCTTCCGCCGCGATCTCTATGTTGGAAGGAGGAAAGATTTGATTTGATGTGGGGACGGAAGATTTGTCAGCGACCGTTGACATGCTCTTCGCAAGTCACATCGCAAGTAATCTTCACCAAGAACAGAGATGTCCCAAAATGTAAGCTACATGTTTTCAGATTTTTTTGCACCAACAGCGAAGCTTAGGGGTCTTCTGCCATAGTAGTATAGATTTTGGAGCAAACTTCGGAGCAGGTGTTCCAAAACAGGTTCCGGAGGAGGTTTCGGAGTCCTTGCTCCTAGTAGTAAGGCCAAGCCCCTAGTAGCGTCCGTGCTCCTAGTAGTAAGGCCAGGAGCCCCTAGTCGCGTCCTTGCTCCTAGTACTTCTGCCACGCCTCCAGCTGGTGGTTGTAACACCACCTAAAACGGAACCTCACACAGCTTCTGTGAAGTGTACGTCAATCGGCTGGCGCACCGAAAGTCCCAGGCGTTCAGCCGCCTTTCCATCCCAAACGCCAGGTCTTGGCATCTTTGCGGAGCTGAAGGATGGTTTCCTCGATCCAAAAATTACCAGGATCCAAAACCGGTTGTGGCACAAGTGTGACCAGCGGCCGCCTTTGCGTCCGTACCAACCGCAACTTTTATGCCCTCCAGAGCCCCCAAGGAAGACCTGCTGACGGGTGCTTGTATGCCAATTGCCCGGAAAAATTGAAAACATGTTCTGCAGTACCAGTACCAAAACTATTTTCACTTCTTTTTCACTCAAAAATCGGCTATTGGCCTCACATACCAGCAACCCCAACAGGTCTCGCTTGGAGGCTTTGGGGGAAGGAGGGCCAGACACACCCAAGTGGCCGCACCCACTGCAAAGCGTGGGAACAATTTTTTCCCCACACAGATGCTAGGCAAGTTAAGTCACAAGGTTTCCTGAAACTTAGGGATTTGGGGTGGGGAACTTGAACACCTGTATCGTCAGTGAAGAAACAGGTATCACCCGATTTAGAAGAAATTGTGACTCAACTTGTGGTACCACTTGTCTGGGAAAAACAGTTCCACCATATTCCAACAGGTTCCACCCACAAATTTGTTTCGCGCGTTAAGTGCCGGACCGGCATCTCAGAGGGCGAGTCAATGAACTGCGACGAGCCAGGGCCCAGCGCCGAGGAATGAACACCTCGCAGACCCGCCGAGCCGCCGACGATGCGCCGAGCAAGACCAGTCCACGCCAGTGAGGGTGTCAGTGGGGTGGAGATCAGCAAGAACAAGTCCACGATCAGGATGGGATACGGTGAGGATCTGCGGGTGTTTCGTTGCCCTAAACAATCCTGCAGAATAGACCCCTGTATAGTAGAAGATACAACGGTGAATAAGCAAAACATACTATATAATATGTGAACAAACAAATGAGAGCACACATATGTACACAAATTTATGAAATAACATACACATGAGAGCCCACATACGTAAGCAAAAAACAAATAAACACATCTGGGAACACACACGCGTGACATTGAGAGCACACACAAAGGAACACACCTGACAGCAAACATATGAGGGCACAAATATGAGAGCAAACAGGTGAAACCAAACATACCAGAGCATACATTTGAGAGCGTGCATATGACGTGTGCTCATATTTGTGTTCCCTCATGGGTGCCCTCATGTGTCCTCTCCCACGCACGCCATATGTGTGCTCACTCAGGCTCACTCTTACCGGTGCCCTCATGTGATTTGCTCACATATCGGTGCTCCCGTTGTATGCGCGCTCTAATGTGCTAGCTGCCAAATGTGTGCCCTGATGCGCGGGCTGCCTTGCCTTCGGTATGTGCGAGAGCGCGTGTTAGAGCACACCCATGGGCCCATGAGCGCCAACATGCACACATATGAGATTGCTGCGCCCGCAATGAAATCTTTACTTCCGGGCTGGTGCTGCAAACGCCAACATTTCTACACTTCGTCGAGGTTACCGAAGCGCAGCACCTGCCACAAAATCTGCACTTCCAGGATCTAGGTTTACAAAATACTGCTCCTGCCAGGAACTCAGCACGTCGAGGTTCAAAAAGTTGTTGATTGATTCCACATAGTTTCGGGCCATACTCGAAGGTCACCTTCATGTTTCGAGATACATACGCGACCATCCCGAAACAGCCCAAAACCAAGCCAAGATTCTTGAGCTGCAAGATGATTTTTGCTCCCTTCAGAAAACACTTGGTGCATGTGGGGCACCCTACAGAGAGTCAAGGGTTATTGCAGGGAGTCCACGTTCCCCCGGCACTCTTGGTCTTCGCCTGAGGATCTGAACTGCAAGGGAATGTCCTCGGCCTGGGACCGGCCGAGCGCGAAGCCGCAATGCTCTGTCGATGCCAAGAATTGAACGGTGTGAGTGAGTAGTAGTGCAAGGGAACTTCGTCACCAAGTAGGGATGGTTGGTCCCAAGCAAAATCCCACAAATTCATTGCACATCTGGACACTACTGAAATGGAAACCTGGTGTCCTGTTTCCAGATTCACTCCAGCTTGCGAGACTGAACTATACAAAAAACAGAACCCCCCTGAACTTGGAAGCTTCGAAGTATGTAGGGACTATCACCACGACAGAAAGATAAATTGAGTTCGACACTCTAAAGCATTAATCTATAGGTTGATCGTGATCTGTGGAACATTGCTTAGCTGAACTGAGTTTCGATTTCTGATGCACAGCTATGGATTCAGGGCATCTATCTCATGTGACGTAGGAACTCTTGTCCACCACAGTGAGTAAGCAAATCTTTGTTTTGTTTATACAGACTGTTTTCCAGGTCTGCATGACCAATTCCGCTTCTTTGAACATTCCTTCAACTAAACGCCAGGTGCCGCTGAAAGTGGATGTGATTGCCAAACACCAAGGTGGATCCTCCATCCGCCCAGGCTCGCTGCCTGCAAGGTCGGATCACTGCCTGCAAGGTCTGACGAGAACACACAATGGCAGGACTACGTCACTACGAACCTTGCAGTAATCACAAGGGCGGGAAAAACAGGGCGGCCAGGATAAGCCTGGCATTTGCGTGTGGTACTGTGGCAACTTGTACTGTTGCTGATCATGGGGTGGTGAACTGAGATGAGTGTCACTCTGAAGTTCGAAGACTATCAACCAACAAATCTTCAAAATGGACTACCAAGGTCAAGAAACAATGTTGTTTGGGGTTTTAACAAGGCTGTGGTAGACCGCTGAGACCCACCAGCTGCCCAGCTCGCCTGAGATCCGTGTGGGCGGTGCCTGCAGGCATTTGCAGGAAAAAAGGCTGATCTTCCCAAGGCGCCGTTAAACATGACAAGGGTAAACATACCTCTTGGCTCCTCCAGTATGTTACCTCTTGTGTTTTTGCTAAAATTGGACACATAGGTAGAAACATCCAATAGTGTTACAGTTTTTCATGTTTCATGGTTTTGCTAAAATTGGTTCCTCCTTCTTGTCATACTGTAAAAAACACATCGCTCGGATGACACATGAAGCGTGGCACTCTGGTAGTTAGTCGACGTCATCAGGATCATTTTTCTTTCATACGCTCATCGGTCGATGACTGCGTGGACCGTTGTGGTCCCACCTGTGCCCCGTGGGGCCTTGCCTCAACTCGACTCAACTGAAGTTTTTGTCGAGGAGTCTAGCTAAGGTGGAGGCTTTTGCCTCCTCCTTTTGATGGGATCGAAGCACCATGTGAAGCATGGCAAACTGTCTCAAACATGGACAGCAATGGTCTTCATTTAGACCAATGCTATGGAACGGTTGACAGGCACACCATCTGGTTGGGTGAGCTTTGGAAAGGAAACTCACTGCACATCGATCAGCCAAGGAGCTTGCTGCGTCCCACCATGAGCGATGTGCCACCTGCATGTGTGCGTTTAGGTCTCGAGGCCAGCTGCCACACATGATGCATTTCTTCACCAGCCTGTGACATAGCCGAGGATGATCTACCAAGAGGTCGGTGTCCATCAAATCAAGCCCAATCAGCCATTTTCCACTCCAGTCATCGTTGATGGCCGAGTCATGGATGATATGCTGTACCTTGTCGTTGTCAGACAGAATGGGCGATTCCTCAGCCAGAGAAGACAGCAGTTTTCCTGCGCAACCAGCGGGAGCGCTGAGAACTTCACCGGGGGGTGGTCGTCGTCGTAGACCCACCAAAAGTCACCATCTTTGATTGCCGTGTTGTAGTGTCCGGATGAGGCCTCAGAGCCCAAATGGAAGGAGACACCGAGGACCATGAACGGGATGTGGTCTACCTCCAGCTTGGTGTTCAGGAAGTAGGGCAGCCAGACCTTGGAGTCCCAAGTCAGCCGAGTGTGACTTTTGCGTCCTCTGGAGTCAAAGCGGTCAATGTGCAGGCATGTGACATCTGCTGGTTCTGTGAGAGCGTGTAACCCGAAGGATGCGAGGCTCCAACTTGAAACGAGACCTTGCAGGTCAATTGGTAGGGTGCTTTTTTGCTCACTGCAGATGTATAGTCGTAGTGGGCACCCCTGGGCATAGTGGTCAACCACTTTCAAGTTGCCATCCTCCTCAAGCCGGCTTTCCCAACAACAGCTGAGAAAAAGAGGATTGGTCTGTTGTAGAAGATGATGAGCAAAGTCAACCACATCATGTTGCCGAAAAGGATTGGGCCAATTGGCCAGAAGGGTGGTCCACTGCCCGTCTGCCCATAAAAGCATGGGCTGCCCTTTGGACACATCTGCTAATTCCCCCAAGGCGCCAAGTTGGACCATTGGTCCTCCTTCAATCCATCCGCTTTCAGTGCGCTCCAGGCTAGTCCAGTGGCAGCCGAGTTCATGTAGCAGGCAGCAGCTGGATTCTGAAGCGTCCTCAGTGGAGGGTCAGCGAAAGTCTTCAAAGTTGTTCCAACATCTTGCCAATGTGTTGAGCCAGGGGCGTTCGATGTGTACTGGCTGGGCGCATCCTGCCAAGCACTAGTTGCCAGAGACCCGAGTGACTCAGTTGGTGCCAAAGTCCCCTCATCTCGTTTGCATTTGGGTGGACCAGTGCCAAAGTGATCCTCCATGACGGTGTCTCGGTGTCCGTGGTCATGGCCTTTTGGATGTGCTGTTGGGGACGTAGGGCTCCGAATCGTTTGATCAGGGCTTCTTGCTGCAGCAGAGTGAGCATCCTGGTCACTGTCTGGGTGGCCTGATTCATGGTCAGAGGTGCGTCCTCCTGCGCCTCCATCTGTTGCTTGGTGGAGTTCCATTTCATCCGTGGAAAGATGAATGAGTCGCCCTTCTCTGGCTCGGGCTGCAAAAAGTTCAGGCGCAGCAATGTCTGGATCAAGGGATCTGAGGAGGCAGTGGATTGAAGCTTCTGAATCCTCTTCAGCAGTTCCTCCAGCAAGGTTTTCAGGACCAGGATCCGAAGTGGATGGGTCCTTTCCGCAGTTGGAGTTTGCTGCCAGGTCTGCGTCTGCATCATCATGCTGGGAAGAACTGAGTGTCTTCGAGTCGTAGGACGAGGCGGGTCAGAGCATTCATGAGTGTCCTTGAATCTGGTGTGGACTCGTCCTTGATGTTCTGGGTCTTCCCCAGCCCTTTTCTTCCTTTTCCTTTTCCCTGGCCCTTCACGCCATTCGACGTGGTAGACCTCGGGCGCTTTGCGCTCTGCTTGTCCTCGTCCACCTCCATCTTCACCCACTGATTCAGGGCCCCCACATTTCGGAGATCTGGTTGCCCTCCGTGTCCATGATGAAGAATGGCAAGAAGGCTGGCAAGCTGAAGGAGCACTGGGCACTGTGCTGCGGTCGGATGACAGTTGCAGACTGAGCAGGTTTGCTGTCTTTTTTGATAGAACGACAGAAACTTGTAAAACAGCCCCCCCACGGTTTCCATGTTTGGCATGGTTGTTCCAAAGATGTTGAAGCATATCCCTGGGGTCAACCTGTCGTCCACATAAGCAGCACCAAGAACTAAGTGCTGTGCAGAGGGCTCCATCACCAAGAATTTCTTCAAAGACTCCGGTGGCAAGCAGGCTGTCCAGATTCGGGAAGTTCAGTGCGATCGTGGGACTAAGAACCTGCAAGTCCAGTTTCAGTGCATGGGCCAAGATGAGCTCGTCACTGGCGTCTTTCAGCTTGTGTAGATCATGGTGAACAAAGAGGGCAAGCTGTGTGAAGACTGTGCAAACATGTGGAGTTGTCGGTGGTCTGAGACAGGAGCACCCAAGGTTCCGCAATGCACTGTCGGTCTGAAGCCATTCTGCAAACGTGGTTGCCATAGACCAGGAAGTGGAATGAACGGAGCTGAGGTGCTTCAGAAGAGAGGATGAGCTGGATGATTGATGTCCGCATAGTCCGCAGATGTAGCCCAATCTCCTGATCAGTGACTTGTAGGCCAACAGATGGTCAAAGGTGCCCCCATGAAGGCCGGAGATGACCGCCGGATGATGCCATAGCAATGGAGGTGCATCCGGTAGAGGTTCAGGACAGTGCCCACCATCAATGTGATGCCGAAGAGCTGCAAGACAGAGAAAGGAGGCATCACAGTGTGCACATTGAGTAAGTCCAGGAACTTGGTCCCTTGGAGTGAGCGTGCTCCATGGACTGATGTTGATGAAGTCCTGCAGCGGTCACAAACTTCCTAAAACATTGAGCGCAGGCAAATTGGGCATCCATCCTCTGCGGAGGTTGAAGGACAGGTGGTGGACATGCTGGAAACTGTTCACGATGTTTCCGATAGGCTAAAGCAAGGCCCAGCTGTTTCTTCACAGGACATGTGTGCGTTTTCGATCTGAATTCCTGTCCACAGAGTTCACATGGTGAGGTAGTCCTGGCACGGATCACGTTTGGTAGAACCTCTCCCATGAGAGCATAGACGTCCCCATGATCTCAACCCATGTGTGCAGACATTTGCTGCAGTCTCGATGACCAAAAGCCACAAAGAATGCACCGTTGGGTCAGGAAGTAGCAGAGCCCTCGATCATTGGCTGGTGGTGCCATGTCTCCATCATCAAAGTACTCCGGAAGCTTCTGCCGATGTTCTTGAAGAACTTCCGGAGGTGCCTTGGCCGAATCAAATTCCGAACAGGCATAGGAGTGAATATGGTGACGGAGATTTTGCCAGCTTGTGAAGGAATCTCCACAGTGTCGACAGGTAGGTTTGCCTTCAACTGCATCTCTAGCTATGTCCAAAAGAGGACCTTCAACATGAAGAATACCATGAACATGCAATTCATGTCTCCGCAACGTGTATAGATGTTGAAATGTCAGCCCGCATTGCTGACAATCAAGTCCTGCCTCCGCCAGGGGGAGCTTGGGTTGCATGTCCAATTCGCCAAGGTCCTGGAGCCAAGAGTCTGCTAGATTGATTGAGCTCTGAAGTGTGCTGAGGTCAAGAAGGTGGAGTATGTCATGCTCTTGAAGAGAGATGAGTCGGTCCTCATGCCGCTTCAATTGAGAGGCCATCCGCTCCCGAAGGGAGAGCACCGGGTGCCGGATTTGGTGCTCTGACAGAAATTCAATATGAGTGGTGTGTGTCATGTAGGAGTGATCTCCTGCAGCTTGCCGTAGCATTGACGTCATGATCTTGGAGAACAAAGGAATGGAGGTATGATCTGTTCCAGTTGCATACGCTCCTATTGGAAAAATACATGTTTGCCATAGAGCCAACTTCTGAGCCGAGTGCATGCCATTTTTGGTGAACCACCGCTGCATTTGCCTGAACCGAACTTTGCATGCTTGAAGCCGAGCTTTCATGGTGTCTCTTTGAAAATTGTTGTATCCCATCTGAACTCCCAAATATTCGTGCGTCTCTTTGATCGGATTTCATGTGAGCCCCCTTCCACTGTTGGAATGCATAGTACAGAGTGGTCAAACTTCTTTTTCACAAATTGCTGCCTGGCTTGTTTCTGGTGTTTGCCTCCCCAGCGCAAGATGACGGCTGATTTCTTCATGTTCACTGTCATGCCCAACCTCTCAAGGACAGAAATAACAGTGCCAAAGTTTTGGAGACCTTGTTGAAGTTCAGCAATTGTTCTAAAAACAAAGCAGGCATGACCGTCATCTGCGTAGAAGGTGCAGCATTCCCCCATCCAATCTTCTGAGGCTTCGTGCGCAATCATATTCAAGACCCGGGCAATAAAGCTCGCCCAAAAAAAAGGGTGCCTTGCCTCACACCTTTAAAGGTGGGTTGTTCAGCTGAAAGCCCTTTCCACTGAATCACGTATGAGGTCTGAGTATGCCATTTCATCAGGAGGGAGATGAGTTCAATTGGAAGACCAAGAAGGGCAAAGGCTGAATAGAGGTGTTCCCGAGGCATGGCATCAAAGGCTCCAGTGAGATCAAGGAAGAGTTGACATCCTCCAAACACCAGAGGACGTTGTGTCCCCATTTCATTCCGCTTATTGGCATCATATCTCCAACGATGGTGAAGAGCTTGGACCTCCCGGACATGTGCTTGGACTCTGGTGATCGCTTCCCATGTTCCTCGTCCCGGGAGGTAGGCAAATTGTGGAAACCATGTCAGAGCTGGAAGGGTAATCTTCCTGGCCTCATGAACAAAAAGGGACATGACCGTCTTGGAGAGCGGTGTCTGAAGAGCTATGGGACGAAGCACTTTCGGTTCAACTGGAAGTTTGTTTGGTTTAGGCAGCAGTACGACCCAGCCTTTCCGCCATTCTTGAGGGATCATGCCTCCATGCATCCACCATTTCACCCATTCAAAGACGAGAGGTCCGATGGTGGAGGCCAGCGCCTTTGAAACAAAGCTTGGAGCCACGTGATTCGGTACGCTGGTGCGTCCAAAGAGCCCTTGTAGCCCATGAACGAGATCCGGTGCTTCGAAAGGAAGCTCTGCCAGGTGGAAGGGTTGTGCTGGAAGATCAACTCCAGAATAGAGTCCGGCCATGTACTCCTGGATCCAACCCAGTTCCTCTTCTGGAGACATTAACTGCCCTTCATGCCTCCGTAGCTGAGGTCTCGATGGTCGGGTCTTGGGTGTGAGCGAGTTCACCACCTTGAAGTACTTGTGCGAATCGTTGTTGGCCCAGTGCCATCTTGCTTGTTCAATGGTCTGTGCAAGCTTGTCCCGTTTGGCTTTCCTGGCTTTCTGATTGGTGTCCCTTTTCCAGGATTGAAGTCGAGCCACTTTGACCCATGTCCCAAACAGTTGTTGAAGCCGACTGGAATAGGTTGTCTGCGTGGCAATGGCCGGTAAAGCAAGTCCAGGATGTCCATTGGCCCAGGTCCAGAAAGTGGGTGAGGTCTTGCCTGGCCCATGATCATGAGGTGTGAAGTTTTGACACCCTTCAATGAGAACCTGGTTGAGGGCATCAAGATCAGGTTCACACTGCCATAGACCTTGAATGGCTGCCTCTAAGGATGAGCACAGGCGCTGCCACTCTTCACTGTGAGAGTCCCAGTGTCGAAGAAGAAGATCATGTTGTCCTCGAGGTAATCCAACCTTAGTAGAGTTCCATGCCCTCCATTTGTATGGAACCGTGAAGAGAATGGGCACGTGATCTTTCGTGTGGCCAAACCTTTCAGGCAAGTGCTCCAGGTAGATGGGCTTCTTGGTTATGGAGTCACTGGATTTGTGCCGTACCAGAATGAAGTCAATTCTGGAGCAAGTCTGGGCCCCAGTGAGGTGTCCTAGGTGTTGATAGCTGTCAGCCCGTGCTGAGTCAGTAGATTCCCAAGCCGTCCAGAGTCAGGGTGGCGTGGTCCAGTTCTTCTACCCTGCTTGTCTTGAAAGTCCTTGAGACCAACACAATGAGGAATGCGTGGAAGGCTTGTATTCAGGTCTCCCCCCATAATGACCACATTCCTTTGTGGTAGACCAGCCAGGAGTTGATCACAGGCCTGAAGGAGGTCTACCCGATGCTGAGCACATTTGGGATCAGTTTGAGTCCAGGCATGCTGGTAGATGTTGAGGAGGTCCAGTCCGGAGGAGGGAAGATAAAGACGAACATGCAGGAGCCGGCCTGGAATGACCTCCCGCCATGAAATACGATCAGTGTTGCAAAAGCCTTTCCGGATGATCACCATGGTGGACTCAAGATCCACTATGAACATAGGCAAATTGAGGGTCTTGCCAATCACCACTGAACCCCCACCGAGTGTCCTGGAGGAAGAGAACGTCCAGGTGTTGTGAGCGCATCCATTGCCTGAGGATGTCAAACTTGTAGGAGCTCAGGGAGCAAATGTTCCAGCTAAATCCAGTGAGCCTGTTCTTTCTGATTTTGGCCGGTGGGGCCACATTGAGCTTCTGCCTGGAGAGATGACCTTGGAGGTGCAGGGAAGTATGAAGTTCCTCAACGCCAAACATGGCTGCCGTGAAGAGTTGACCTTTGTACCATGTATGACCATGAAGTTGGGCTCTTTTGAGTGCACGAATATATGCCTTCTTTTTGTGCTGAGGCTTTTCCGAATCCAGGTGTATTGTTTTGGGTCCTGTGCCACTTGGCTTCGCCATAGAAAGGGTATTGAAGTCCAGAAACTGGTTGGCTTCACTGGGTCGTGTGGCAGACCCAGAACCCTCAGGCCACCAGGGTGGAGCTTGGGGATTCAAGGCACTCTTGTGGTTCACGATGTAGGCCATGATGGAACCTGCAAGGCAGTGAACAAAGAGGCCAGGTCCAACCCTGGCCGGGGACTTGGGACCCCGGTGAGCGTCCTTGAACGATGCCGCGTGTGACCGCTTCCTCAGTGGTCTGGCCCGTTGCCAGGTGCAAGAGGAGCGGTACTGGTAGTAGAGTTTCTTCCGGTGGAGCCAGAAGAGGTAGGCAGCCACAGTCACGAAGGGCAGGAAATAGAACCTGAACAGGTAGGTGACGATCTCCTGGGGGAAGGGATCTTGTCCTCTGGGTCCTGCAAGTAGTTGGGCGTAGGACCGGTTGCCGAGGATCTCAGCAACCGCGGCGGTCAGCTCTGGGTTGCCCATGGACGAAAAAGTCGTGACCGCACTGCCCCCGCGGCACCGTGGGGTATGGGGGTTGAGCCGCTCATGGCCCTTATCATCATCATCATCATCGTCATCATCATAATCATCATCCTCGTAGTTGTCGTCGTTGTCGTAGTAGTGGTAGTAGCGGTAGCGGTAGCGGTGGCGGTAGTGGTGGCGGTGGCGGTGGCGGTGGGGGTGGCGGTGGCGGTGGCGGTGGCGGTGGCGGTGGCGGTGGCGGTGGCGGTAGTAGCAGTAGCAGTAGCAGTAGCAGTAGCAGTAGCAGTAGCAGTAGGAGTAGGAGTAGGAGTAGTAGTAGTAGTAGTAGTAGTAGTAGTAGTAGTAGTAGTGTTATAGTGTTGTAGTGTTGTAGTTGTAGTAGCACTAGGAGTACGAGTAGGAGTAGCTGCAGTTGTCGTTGTAGCAGTTGTGGTGGTAGTAGTTGTCGTAGTCGTCGTTTCGGGATCGTTCATCAGAGAGGATTTCACTGCATAAATGGTCGTTGTTGTTACCATGTTGTTGTCTTTTATTGGCCTCTTCACGGATGGTTTGGACAGCATCTAAAAGGTCGCTTTTGTTATTAAAATCACAAAAGCCTTGCATGCTCTTTTAAGTCAACTCCCATGTATTACCAGGAGAGATTTCCCTGGGGTCCCCTCATTTGTGAATAAACCAACATAAACCAACGAATTCTTCCCGGCTCATTTATCCTATGTTCATACGCCCTGCTCATATAGCTGCACGATCTGGACAAACAAATTGCTGCTGACACTGGCTCTTAGTCACAGTCTTGCAAGCCCGTGGTCATATGTTAAATGTCGGAGTCCGTTCACTCATCCATTCCATAAATCATCATAAATCTGTGTACAAACATGGAATCTTACGCCTTGGATGGGCCATGCAAAAGGTCCCCTGAAAGCGCAATCCAGTCTGGCCTCCCTGTCCGACATGGGACTTGTGGGCATCTCAGTCGGTACCTCCGCGGTGGGACGTGTGGCCTGTCTGTCTTGAATGAAAAGAGATTCCATCTGTTGGGTTGATCTCACTCGCATTACTTCATTACTTGAGTTGGACAAACACGAACTTACTTCAAGCCGACACCTCTTGACATAATGCCAGAAACAAACAAACACGGCGAGGTTGGCTGGAAGCAGTCTGAGTCCAAGTCATCTTCCACCCTTCTACCTTCGGAGCTGTTCTTTGGCTACGCCAACTTCCACCCCAGGCATCGGCCCACTCCCAGCTCCCGACGCCCGCACCGGCATCTCCGACGGCGACTCCAGCTGCGAGGAGCTCGGGCCCATGGCCGATGAGTGAAGACCTGGCACCGCCGGTCTTGTGTGGCGCAGGCCGTCGGCATGACCGTGTTCGTGTTGTCTCTGTGAGCATGGAGCGGTCGTCATGATGGGAGTCACGTTCGCTGTCTTCGGTGATATGCAAAAACGAAAGCGGTCATTGAGATTCAAGATGTTTGTACCCGTGGACAGAAACAGTTTGAAGCGACTTGAAAGAGAACAAACTGGCGCAGCAAAAGTTAGCGACCTGGCCAAACACGTATTTCAATGTATTTCATGAATGTTCATGACATGATCTCAACCAGCTGATAAAACAACAAACAAACATTTATTGTGCCAGGTTTTTCTCACTCTACCTACCACTGATTTCCAGAATTGCCGGCTGAAACATGATTCTAAGTCTACGTCTGTGTCAACCGGTGATGTGCCAAATTGAAACGCCTGTGTCACTAGCCGCTGCCCAACCCCGAGCCGAACAACGCCTGAGGATTTGAACGGAATCTCATCCAACTGGCGGTCGCGTGCGTTCATCGGACTTCAGTATCCCAAAGTCCGGATCTGGGCTTTCAGATCTGGGTCAATCTTGACGGAACGCAAGAGTTATGATACTGCCAGGCCATGACGAAACTACCCACCAATTCCTAGAGTTTTGATGCACAATAATTCCCAAATGAGATTCCAATGGCTCGGATTTTGGACAACTCTCCCTTGACCATCGCACAGGCGTCGCGCCCGACCATCGCACACACTCGAACATCCGCCTGTCTCGTGGGCTCACCCCCTGGCCGGGTATGCGAGCTACCCGTTCAAAGTCCTGTGGAAGTGCCATCTATCCACCCACGGTTCTACGAAACCCAAGATTTGAAAAGGTCTGTGAATAGCCAAACATATTGAACGAGGAGCTTCTCCAAGTAAGTGGCTGTCCAAGTGGCTTCAATGGTTTAATCAGTTGAACAAGGATCTTCCATCGTTTTCACGTTGGTCCATCTTCTTGTCCATGAATGAATGCCTATAGAGCAATGTGATTGATTCAAGTCTTTCTGGTTTTCTTTCCATACCAGACCGGTCTGATTGACCATCGCCGGCCGAAGACGAACCCCAAGCGTGCAACCTGAACACAAGGCCAAACCCCGAGTGAGAGGTGGATGTGTCGTTCAACTTCCAAAAGGGTGTCTGTCGTCGTTCTTTGCAATGAACATGGTAGGTTCAGAGCATAGATATGACACCAACACAAACGTAGTATCCAGTTGCCCCTGTTGCAAACACCAGTAAAACGACCCTTGGCCGCCAATTCAACTTCATGATGGAACAAAACTCGGTAGATGGCACAAAGATGTTTCAAGTTTAAACATGGGTTACGCGCTGCAAAAAGAAACCATCAGGAGGTGAAAGGCAATGGTGCAATTCCGTACATTGGTTGAGAAGGTGTAGTGGTGAAATTGGAAGCTGTGCCACCCTTCTACTTTCACTCTGGTGTATTCTCCCCGCTCTTCGGTGCCTAAATTGCGGGCCGCCCATTTCTCGTGATCCCTACGCACTTGCCAACATTGTTAACCCAGCTGAACTCGAAGCTGCAGCAGCCTTTTTGGGAGGGGGCTTGAACAAGTTTGTTCGTTTATGCTCCTCTTTGTGCTCAAAGGTGGATTCGTCACGAAACATCCAAACAGATCAGCATTTAATGGCGTACCAACAGCACATTAAGTACCAAGTTCTGCCTTAGTTTGCCACAATAATCCTTTCTTGCCACAATAACCCCGTCTAGGTCGTTGTCCTGGATGCATATTGGCTGCCCAAGGTCTACTGTAAACATACAGCGTGTCCCCGTCGTCCTCCCTCCAGAATCTGAGAAACACACTTTCAAGAGTTGTTAATTATACCCATTTACAATACCTTCATAGCTTGAAACAACATGTAACCATGGTATGTTAAACCTGTTCGCACACCTAACTACGTGGATAACACCGAGCCGCCTGAGAAAATCGTGGGCTCTGGCACCTCGGCGCTCCGCCCGCTCCGGTGCTCGATCGACAGGCTTTCGCAGCAAATCTGATCAATGACCTCGTCAATGACAAGCATTCGTTTCGGTTGGAACAACCCCCAGATAAATTAGAACAACAGGAAGTTGACACCAGAACAGCAAAAGTAATCATATCCTCAAAAAGTGTCCTTCAGAACAAGGCACTTGCCAATCCCCAGAAACATTGGCACACACACAAGATCAAACCTGCATGCATGTTTCAATAATACTTCACACCCTCCGCCCGGCTGCGGACACCGGGAACCCCGAGCCGTCTGGACCTCGTCGGTCTCCGAAACCGGACTGGTGGGAAGCTCGGTGGGCACCTGGCCGGCGGTGTCAGTGCTGGGGCCCGAAACGGACGACCGTGAGAACGAGGGACAGGACACCACCGAGGTCAGGAAGCTCGGAGTGGATCTGCCAGCAGTGCTGACTCGTGAGTGTTCATCCATAGTGCCATTAGTCAATACATGTCAATAGGTCTTTTTTCTACTTATTGAGGGCTCTTGCTCCTCGGTGTTGTGAGTATCGGTGGGTAGTCTTGAGCATAGAATCTATGCCACCAAAACCACTGTCGCAATGGGCGCAGAACACAACAGGCTCGTAAATCTGGACATTACGTACGTTAATCGATCTACACCTTAATGTATAGGGAGCTCGGGCTGCACTGCTTTGCCGTGCACGATTGCAAGCGATCAATGTGATAGTGAATGTTCATGCATGCATGTTCTATTGAATATATTGGATGATGCAGGGAAAAAGAGTTGCAACATGTTATTCGAAAAACATCAAGTGTTTCAATTGTCAAAGGGAGCAAAAGAAATTGTGCCCACAAATCCGGAAGTTGCTGGTCCACCTGGCAGAAAAAAACATCGCATCGGTTTGCACGAGCAAGAAACTATAGTGTCTGGATGCTTCCGTCCGATGCTGCTGCTACACACTAAAAACTGCATCCTTAGTTCCACCCATCACAGGGATCTACATACGTCACATATACCTTCTGAGCAGGTTTCGATCTTTGGGGTGAACGTGGCATTCTCGGGCCAATCTCAAAAATGCAAATTTCCATTTCTTCACCAGTATCAATCTCGTATCCCACCCTCGGGGGTCTCCGTGTAGACTCTGTAGCTATACCTCCAAAGGTTTAACTCCAAATGGAGAAGTCCTGCCGCAGCGCACCGAAGAAGCACAGAAGCCGAGCCACGGGCATCTCGGAGGGTGATCCAATCGAGGACGAGACCAAGGCTGAAGAGTGAAGGCCTTGGGTGGAAGAATAAAGCAAACGGAGCAAATGGAGTGGATAGCACAATGAGCTTAGACGAAAAATACACTTGATAATAGCACAGCAAGCATGTCTTTGAGTGTTTGACCATGATCCTGGAAAAGAAAGTGAAACCGCGTCAACACATGTGTCAACACCCGTTTTCCGTGTGGGCTGGTCGGTGGCTGCATTGGAATAGGGAGACCTGCCAGTTAGACCCCCTGGAAGAAGGAACAAATCTTCATAACATCTGCAAGCAACTTCCTTGTAATCGCATACGTAGTACGTATGACCAATCTCTAACCCCGAGTGGTGATGATCTGTAACTCTACTGGCAAAAAGACTTCAATCAATCCTGCAGCCGACACCGTTCTACGCCGCACAGCTCGTGCGCCACGTGGCACGCCTGCGGACATCAACGGCATTGGCACCTCGGCCTGCATGGCGGAGGATGGTGACCCATGTACCAGTAGGTCTCCTGCAAACCGCTGTCGGATCCATCTGGGTATAGCTTCAAGTCAACCAGTTCCAACGATTACAGTACATTCGGGAATGTGCGGGGGATTGTAGTCTCACCATTTAGACTTCAAGAAAAAGACAAAACTGAACAACGGAAAGTCTTTATCCTTTGATCCACATGTTCAAACCATTCCTTATGTTCAAACCATCCCTTCATCCGTGCCCATTGACTGCACGCTTCAGCAAGGATGAGCACTCCACGGATGGGACAGTTGGGTTGGTGGGGCTTGTGCCAAAAGTGACGAAGACTTGACCACCACATGGCACATCAGAACCTTGGACTGAATGAGTCTCTGCCCCATTGGTGGATCAAAACAAGAGCTGGCTCGTGACTGTTCCTCGCCTCGCCGGACCCACGAACAACAGTCCCACGAACGATGGCCGTCAACTGCCTCTTGCACCGTTGCCTCTTCTTCGCCTGATTGTTTCCAAGGCCGTGCGAAAGACATCTCTGTCATTATCATGTCTCTCCCATGTGTAATGTCGACATATGTCAACATATTATGGACGTTCCTCTCAGACTCTTGTTCATTCATCATATAGCGGCCATTTGTATACCCTCACTCACTCACCATCGCTCACCAAACGATCCAAGCATGTGGCCACCCCACAAATTGCTTAGCTGCCAAACCGATCCCCGATCCCCAGTTGCAGCTCTCAGCTCGGACAACCAAAATTGCAAGCTCGCCCGCCTTCAGACAAGGGCGCAATGGGCACAGGTAGTGGTGCCTCATGATCGGCGCTGAGAAAGACAATCCGGCAAGACTATGGAAGTCTTCTGTACGAAGGGACCGCAAACCAATGGATACTGCTGTTCATCAAACTGAGTCTTCAAGTACTTCAGAGGGTGCATAAAGTGTGTATATTTGTTTGTGGAGTTCATCATCTTTCTAGAAATTGCCCTGCGTTCTCTATCACGAAACAAATCGTTGAAGAGACTTTGGGAGGTGCTGCACAACCCAATCCTAACCGGAGATTTGCGGAAGCACCTCACTCCCAATCCTGCGCTCCCCGCCTCTCCAATGTCCATCGCAGGGCTGGTGGGCATCTCTGTGGGCACCTTGATTGCAGCGCGGAGAACGATGAGTATGTCGACTTGGGTGTTGCTGTGCAAACATCGAAAAAACATGTTTCTGCCAAAACCCTTCATGTGAACATCACGTGCATCCACCTGGCTGCTTCTGTGGCTTCGCTGGGGTTCCGCGCTGGCATCTCGGAGGGCGACTCTGGCGCCGAAGAGCCGGGGCCCATTGCCGAAGAGTGGAGCCCTGGCACCGACGCCGTAACTGGTCCTCGGGCACCCTGCACCTAATATGGCCAGTGTAGCGGCCGTCCAAGCAAAATTCAACAAACACTGCAAATATTGGGGGTTGTGAACTCATTGCTAGCTGCTAGTTGTGGTAGAGCCTCCTACATTTTAACCTATGAAACTATGATTGTTTGCCTCCTCCGACCGTGCTGACTCGTTAGTCCGTTGCAAAATAGCGACGCAGGATCATAAATCATAAATATATTCCTGACAACAACTAACACATGAGGTCTTGCTCGTCTGCATGAAGTTCGACGCGCTCCGAAACCTGGCCAATCCGCCAATCCGCCTGAAGCCTGCCAGGGCGGGATCATCTCTTCTGCCTGAGAGGGATCGGCCGCGTGTGGAGCGAAACAGGGGTGTCAGTCCTTCAAAATACTTCAGGCTTGTTCTGGGCTTCAGTTCTGGACGCGCCACCTTCCCACACCAAAAGATGTAGAGAAAACAAAGTTAGTAGAGAAAATTGCAGTTTGCAGGCCAGTGGAAAGCACTCTTAAACACATCATAAATATAGAGGCATTTGTGTTCAAAACTGTTGTCAAACAACGTCAAAAACCACAAAACCTGTTCTTCACACACCTGGTCACTTGTCACATCTCGGACCTGAGAGACTCCCCCGCCCGTCCCTGCTCATCCCCCGTCTGTGCCCAGCCCATCTGGGCCCGTCCACCTGTGCTGCACGCTCACCTGTGGAGGTGAAAACGAACAAAACTGACATGGGTTCGGGATGATTTCATACCCAAAGAGAGTGGACCTGAAGTGGCTTTGAAGTTGCTAGTCCACTCATGCATGAACAGTGAACTAGTCTAACTAGTCTCTCCAACACAGCATTTGGGGGAGCTCGGAAGATGATAAAGTCCACCCAATTTGACCGATGACGCAAAGCAGTCGATTGAGTCTGAACATTCTCAGAGAATTCATTGATATATCTGTGGATCCACAAAACTCACATAACCAGGTTAAACCAGTCCGACCATTGGAAAGTTGGGTCTGTATGTTTATGAAATGTAGGGGCTTGTGCCTCACAGTCTGCAGATATACGATCCACTGCGATTAAATCGGTTTCAACACTGAAGCAAATGTGTGATCCTTGATGGTCCTTTCTCTTGTTTAATTGTTCGTTTTACCCAAGACGAGGATCCCGGGAAAGGACTCCGACTTTCGATGCTGCTTCTTCCCATTCCTGATCTGCAACTCTGCACTCCAAACCAACGCCTGAGAAGAGGGTTGGCTCTCCAGCGGCTGCCTCACTTTCGAAGGAAGAAGGCGATTTTGGCATGGAAATTGCTTGCAACAGGAATACCTCGCAGCCTTTGCACTTAACTTTGGCTCAAACTTGAGCACTGGCAAGGTGCGCGTAAAAGTGGTGCGAGTGCCTTTCGCTTTGCTTGTAATTAGAACTTACTTGAGCCAGTAGGTTTTTCAGGTGGTGGCGGAGCTCGGAGAACGAGCTGAGAAGGTCCAGGTTTGCGTTTGGTCGCTTTGAGATATGGCTGATGCGACAGGTTCCGAGAGGCACGCGAGAGGGAAAGGTCACCTTCGAGTGGGCAAAGCAGAGCATTTCACCATTAGGTCCCCACAATCGTCCAATAGTCCGACAGGAATGGAGGAAGGTTGAGCTGGAAAAGGCGCAAAAGGAAAACGAGAGAAGGGAGTGATCAGGGAGGAGCGACGGCTCCGTATGTGTCTCCTACACAGGCACCGCCGGTCCCGCCAGCACCAGTACCTCAACAGGTTGTCTAGCCAGGTCTTTCAGAATCTCAGTGGAATCAAATTCTTCAGATGATACAACAGCTCGAACCCATTGGTCGTGAGTGTGGGAATCTAAGTCAGAGGTTGACAGGTCTGGAGGCGAGGGCGAGGTTGCTGAGTCAAGACTTGAGTGGTGGAGAAGGTGGAGTAGGTGGAAGTGCACCGATTCAGGCTAAGTCGCCAAGTATCTCGTCAGGTTCCTTTGGAGAGAGAAGCGTCATGAGTCCACAACCTGTGTTTCCAAAAAAAATACCAATCCAAGGCGAAAAAAACACATGTTTCAAAGGTGGGAATTTGTGAGAATCAATCGAACATGGGAGCATTGGTGATCACCAAGGGGCCTCCCAACGCGTTGAAATGTCTACCAAGTTATCTTCATCAGTGTGAAAAGTTTACTATATGGTCAGTGCCTTGGTAGAAACACCTGGTGACCACATGACAGGAACATATACAAAGTATAGTAAAGTACTTAAAGGATCTCAAAGGGCTTGTTGTCTGAGATGACATGGTGACATGGCCCAACTTTGTTCTGTACATCGTATACCGCTCAATCAGTTGACAGCTGCATCCAGCTGCCCTGCACTCCATATTCAAACCCGACTCCGATGTCGATCCTTTGGCGGGATTGTGCAGCGGAATTCACCGAACGAAAAGGCTCGATCTTGAGACTGCCCTGTGGTCCTTGTGGATGCCATTCCACTCCGCCCTGCTCAGCACCCAACTGGTGTGAAGTGAAGTTGAACCCCTAAACAAATCTAAGCAACCCCATCCAACTTGTTGTCCCAGAAGGCTTTCACCCATGATCTTTCGTCCACGTCCTGCATGTCTGCTGAGCGCCGTGCCGCGCATGCAATCGAGGTGGGGCTTGGCAGATCTGTCGGCACCTGGAGTTGGAATCCAAGCTGAAGAAATTCATCCATCGCAAAGGGACTGCAGTGCTATTGCTTCAATACACTATACACAGGATTTCTCAGGATTAGTGCAGATGAGTGCAAAGGATTGCACAGGTGCACCATGGTGAACCAACGGTGAGTGAGTTGTTCAAACTCGAGTTTCTCTCTTTTGAGTCTTAAGGTCAAAGAGTATCTGTAGCCGTGAAGCTGATCTTGGCATCGTCATGTTTTGAATGACAACCATGGAATTCACTTCTTCAGCCGGACCCGTGTTCCACTTCGTCTGCATCACCGCCCGTTGCGTGGAGATTGTCCACCGCCCCTGCGTCACCAAGGCCCCTCGCTGGCAGGTCTGATGGTGACAGCGCCAATGCGGAGGAGACCATGGCCGAGGAGTGCATGGCAATGCCTCCAAACAGATGGGTGCAATGCATGTGGTTCACCTCTGGTTCTTTGGATGACAATGTATCGGGATCCGGATCCTTTGAACATAATATGCAAAGGGTAAGCTGATACTGAAAGCAAACTTTTGTATGTCAACAACCTGGGGACCCAGGTATGTTTCCCCAAAACGCAGAGTTTTGATGAGCTGTTGCCACGTTTGGATGTCCAACAGGGAGGTTTCAAAATCAGCTTCACTGGCCAACCACTCCATCGTGTTTCACAACTGTAACGACGCAGCCTTAATGTGCCTGACACTGGTTTCAGGATCAGTCGAAATCAAACATTCAAATGGGGAACGCTGAGAAACGTTTCACAACTTCCCTCCTGGAATGTGTATTCAAACCTCTATATTATAGTCAATCTTATACGGTAGAAAGGGTGATCTCGATTGTTGCACACAAGGAACCCAAACAACATGTATTAATGCAGCAAATAAAAGCATCTGCAAGCATACATGCCCCAAGCAAAAATCGTAGACATCATTTGAGACACTTCCCAGGTTGAAGTCGCTATTGACTGGA